TGTGCCTGGCCAGCTATAGGGTTTTTATAGATACGATTTATCAGGTTAAGGAACTTTCCTGATAAGTTAAGGTTAAGAGTTTTTATCATGAATTAATTGTTTGTCAAATACTTTTTTGGGGGACATTTGTTGAACTCATATGGTTATACTTTTTTAGACTGATACAGTGAATTATATGGATTGATTTTTACTCCTGCGAGGAATCCCACTTGATAATGATATGTTCTTTTTATAAATTGCTAGTATCTATTTATAAGTGTTTTGTTCCAGATTTTTGCATTTATATCTATTTGAGATCCTGGTTTATAGTTTTCTTGTTCATAGTTGGTTTTGGTATCATGGTAATATTGGCCTCACAAGGTAAGTTGGTAAATGTTTATATGCTGGAATTGTTTATATAGAACTGGTATTCTTTCTTTCTTTTTTTTGTTTGAGATGGAGTCTCGCTCTATTGCCAGGCTGGAGTGCAGTGGCGCGATATCGGCTCACTGCAACCTCTGCCTCCCGGGTTCAAGTGATTTTCCTGCCTCAGACTCCCACGTAGCAGGGACTACAGACACGTGCCACCATGCCCAGCTAATTTTTGTATTTGTTTGTTTGTTTGTTTAAGTAGAGAGAGGGTTTCACCATATTGGCCAGAATGGTCTTGATCTCTTGACCTCGTGATCTGCCCACCTCAGCTTCCCAAAGTGCTGGGATTACAGGCATGAGCCACCTCATCTGGCCTATTATTTCTTTCTTAAATATTTGATAGAAGTTTCCTGTGAAACCATCTGGGCCTAGAGTTTTCTCTAGGCAAGGCTTTTAATTATGAATTCCATTCTTTAATAGAAAGTGAGTTAGGTTATCTTTTTTGTTTGTTTGTTTGTTTGAGACAAGGTCTTGCTTTGTCAATCAAGCTGGAATGCAGTGGTGCCATCATGGGTCACAGCAGCCTTGACCTTCTGGGTTCAAGCAATCCTCCTGCATCAGCCTCCCAAGTAGCTGGAACCACAGGCATGTGCCACCACACCCAGCTAGTTAAAAAAATTTTTTTTGTAGAGATTAGTTTTGCCAGTTTTGCCACGTTGCCCAGGCTGGTCTTGAACTTCTGGGCTCAAGTGATCCTTCCTCCTCAGCTTCCTACAGTACTAGGATTATAGGTGAGAGTTCCTGTGCTATCCTCTATTTATCTTTTTTTTTTTTTTTTTTTGAGATGGAGTCTCACTCTGTTGGCCAGGCAAAGGTTGCAGTTGTGCAGTCTCAGCTTGCTGCCACCCCACCTCCTGGGATCAGGGGTTTCTCCTGCCTCAGCCTCCCAAGTAGCTGGGACTACAGGTATGTACCACCACACCCAGCTAATTTTTGTATTTTTGTAGAGACTTGGTTTCACCATGTTGGTCAGGCTGCTCTCGAACTCCTGACCAGCCTCAGGTGATCCACCTGCCTCAGCCTCCCAAAGTGCTGGGATTACAGGCGTGAGCCACTGTGCCAGGCCCCTGTATTTATTTTTTAGTGAACTTTGATTGTTCGTGTTTTTTCAGAGACTCTCCATTTCATGGGAGTGATCAGATTAACTGGTAAAATTATTCATAATAATCCCATGTTATTCTTTTAATGTTGATAGGGTCTGTAGTGATACCCCTTTTTAATTCCTGATGCTGCTAATTTATGTCTTCTTTCTCTTTGGCATTAGTCTGGTTACAGAGTTACCTATTTTACTTTTCAAATAACTAGCTTTTGAGGCTGGGTGTGCTGGCACATGCCTGTAATACCAACACTTTGGGAAACAGAGGTGGGCGGATCACTTGGGGTCAGGAGTTCAAGATCAGCCTGGCCAACATGGTGAAACCTTGTCTCTACTAAACATAGAAAAATTAGCCAGTGTGGTGGCAGGTACCTGTAATCCCAGCTGCTCAGGAGGCTGAGGCGAGAATTACTTCAATCTGGGAGGTGAAGGTTGCTGTGAGTCAAGATTGCCCCACTGCACTCCAGCCGGGTGACAGAGCGAGACTCCATCTCAAAACAAACAAACAACAACAAAAACTAGCTTTTGATGTCATTAACTTCTCTCTGTTGATTTCATTTCTTTTTTTGTTTTACATTTGTTTGATATTGGCTCATTATTTCTTTTTGCTGTGTTGTGTTTAATTTGCTCTTCCTTTTTTTTTTTTTAAAGTTTCTTAAGCTGGATGCTTGTATTTTGATATTAAATCTTCTTTTCTAGTATGAGGGTTTATGTTATACAGTTTTCCTGTGTCTCTTTTTTAAATTCAGAATATTTTCTAATGTCACTTTTATATTTCTCTTTTACCAACCATATATATTTAAAAGCGTGTTGTTTAATTTCTGAATATTTAGGAATTTTCTTGATATTTTTCTGATTTTTGGTTTCTGATTTAATTCTGTGGTCAGAAAACATACTGTCTGAATTTAATTCTTTATTTATTAAAATTTGTTTCAGGCTGGGCATGGTGGCTCACACCTGTAATCCCAGCACTTTGGGAGGCTGAGGTGGGTGAATCACTTGAGGTCAGGAGTTGAAGACCAGCCTGGCCAACATGGTGAAACCCCATCTCTACTAAAACTACAAAAAATTAGCTGGGCATGGTTGCAGATGCCTCTGATCCCAGCTACTTGGGAGGCTGATGCAGGAGAATCGCTTGAACCTGGGAGGTGGGGGTTGTGGTAAGCCGAGATCACACCATTGGACTACATCCTGGGTGACAGAGTGAGACACTGTCTCAGACAACAAAACAAAACAAAACAAAACAAAACAAAACAAAACTTGTTTCATGGCCCAATATATGGTCTATTTTGGTTGTTCTATACATACTTGAGAAGAATGTGTATTCTGCATTTGTTGTGTATAGGGTTCTATAATGTGAATTAGGTCAAATTAGTTTAAGTGTGGTTTATGTTTTCTGTGTATCGATTGCTTTTCTCTATTTGTTTTCTCAGTTATAGAGAGGAATGTTGAAATGTCAACTGTAATTATTCATTTGTTTTCAGATGGAAAGCCAGTAACCATACAACTTACCTTGTTTGTTTAGCTTCTCTGAGAGATCGTAGTCCTGTGTTGCCTCTTATTCAGTGTCCAAAAAGTAGTTTTCTGGTTTTTCAGGTGTTTATGGCAGGAAGGTAAATCTTGTTCTAGTTAGCTTATCATTGCTCAGAAGCAGAAGTTGTTCCCAAGTTTGTATACACCAAGTTTAAAAAAAAATTTTATTGGTTTAAATTTTATCATAATGTTGTGGCCAATATTGCAACATCATTATTGGCTGAATTGTGAGAGCATGGAGTGATACCACAGTTATTATGAATATGAATCTGTGCTTTTATGCACCAAGGGATAACTGGAGTTACATACTTCTGAAATGCCTGTTTGGGCTATTTAGCAGAATAGTTTATACCAGATATAGGATTCCTTATAAATGGATTTATAAGGATAGTTGGTAATTGCCTAGTTATATAAAATTAAATATTTGTATACTTAGCACTTCAATAGTGAGAAGCCATTGTTTTTTCTTTAGCAAAACAGCATCATTTAGAATAACTGCACATTCTTTTTTCTTTTTTCTTTTTTCTTTTTTTGAGACAGAGTCTCAACGGGCTGGAGTGCAGTGGTGCGATCTCAGCTTACTGCAACCTCCGCCTCCTAGGTTCAAGTGATTCTCCTACCTCAGCCTCCTGAGTAGCTGGGACTATAGGCTTGTGCCACCACGCCCGGCTAATTTTTTGTATTTTTAGTAGAGACACGGTTTCACTGTGTTAGCCAGGATGGTCTTGATCTCCTGACCTCATGATCTGCCCACCTTGGCTTCCCAAAGTGCTGGGATTATAGGCGTGAGCTACCTCACCTGGCTTAATTTTTATATTTTTTAGTAGAGACGGGGTTTCACCATGTTGATCAGGATAGTCTCCATCTCTTGACATTGTGATCCCCTCACCTCGGCCTCCAAAGTGCTGGTATTACAAGCGTGAGTCACTGCGCCCATGCTATTAGCCACTGCTGTTTTTTCCATGGAAACTCAGCTATTGTTTTTATAAGCATAATCACTATTATAATATAAATGGTTAATTGAATAGAAGTTATAGTTTGGAGGCCAGGCACAGTGGTTCTCGCCTGTAATCCCAGCACTTTGGAAGACCAAGGTGGTGGATCTCTGAGGTCAGGAGTTCGAGTCCAGCCTGGCCAATGTGGCAAAACCGCATGTCTACTAAAAATTAGCCAGGTGTCATGGCACACACATGTAATCCCAGCTACTTGAGAGGTTGAGGCATGAGAATTGCTTGAATCTGGGAGCAGAGGTTGTAGTGAGCCAAGAATGCACCACTACACTACAGCCTGGGCAACAGAACGAGACTCTGTCTCAAAAAAAAAAAAAAAGAAAGTTATAGTTTAGAGGTTTATATGGCTTGCTGGTATTCTTTTCTGGCATTTAAAATCCCTTAAACTCTTTTTTTTTCATTTGCTTTATTATATAATTTGTATTTTGTAGAAAATATCAAAGGATACAGAGGAGCAAAACCTAGTTCATTGACAGTATTGAACATTGGTAAGTTGTTACTTAGTAACTGTGATATTTCATGCTTCTCAAATTTTACCAATGGTTAATATTGTTAATAAATCAGGTTTTGCTTTTCTGTGTCTTCTGATATTTTCTTCGGTATACAACTTACAAATCAACATATTTTACCTCCACCTGTGTGTTAATAAGTAAATAGAGACACACTAACATTTGCTAAGGAAAGAAAAGAAATATTGGGCAGAGAAATAGGACGACTCATCCACTTCTCCTTGGTTGCTAAAGTATAGAAGTTGGGTGACCTACATATCTTCCTTTGGAAGTTGTGCTTATCAGAAAAATGGAGGTCAGTAGTAGGAGGTGCCTATTTTTGTGTTGTGTTAGATTACTTGTCGGAAGTTGTCTTTATTGACTGCTGACCTTTAGTTTCTCTTTTTGCTGTTTAGAAAATAGTTTGAAGTTTGGCACAACTGGTGTAAGTTTCCTGTTTTTTTTTTAATGGAGCCGTTCACAAAGTTGTATGTCATCCTTGCACTGTGGCCATGCTAATCTCTGTATTATTCCAGGTTTTTAGTATATGTGCTGCTGAAGTGAGCACACATAAGTTTCTTGGTCAGGCGTGGTGGCTTATGCCTGTAATCCCGGCACTTTGGGAGGCTGAGGCAGGTGGATCATGAGGTCAGGACATTGAGACCATCTTGGCCAACATGGTGAAACGCCATCTCTACTAAAAAGACAAAACAAATTAGCTGGGCATGGTGGCGCACACCTGTAGTCCTAGCTACTAGGGAGGCTGAGGCAGGAGAATTGCTTGAACCCAGGAGGTGGAGATTGCAGTGAGCTGAGATCGTGCCACTGCACTACAGCCTGGGCAACAGTGCAAGACTTTGACTCAAAAAAAAAAAAAAAATTATTGGCCAGTGTGGTGGCTCACGCCTGTAATTCCAAGACTTTGGGAGGCCAAGGCTGGCGGATCACTTGAGGGTCAGGAGTTCAAGACCAGCCTGACCAACATGGTGAAACCTCGTCTCTACTAAAAATACAAAAATTATCTGGGCATGGTGGCAGGCACCTGAAATCCCAGCTACTCAGGAGGTTGAGGCACAAGAATCACTTGAACCGGGAAGGCAGAGGTTTCCATGAGCCGAGATTGCACCACTGCACTCCAGCCTGGGCTACAGAATGAGACTCTGTCTCAAAAAAAAAAAAGAATTTTATTATAAGACTATTAAGTTGCTCATAGACGGAAAAGGAAGGCTGGAGAGACAGTTTAGGATAACTCCTGGGGTCTTGCTTGATATAAGGAATGAATTGACAATTTCATCAGGATGCCACCAAATGAATAAGTGCTAACCGTTTTTTTTCCAGACTTGTATCATTTGCTCAAGATTCAGAATCTCCAAAAACCAAGTACATGTTTCCTAGAAGGAAGTACCTAGGCATAAGAGAGGTAATCTCTTAAAAGGAAATCTAAGACCATTACTAAAACATCCTCACAGATGTTGGGAGGCCAGCAAGAAGCTGTTCTTTACAGGTATACAGAAAGGATTAAAGGGGATAAGACTAGAGATTGGAATGCTTGAGAGGTGTTTTGCTGTAGAACAGAAAAGAGGTAACAGAGACTTGAACAAAAGGTAGTGGCAATGGGATTGGCAGTGAGGGTTTTGATGTGAAAAACACCATGGAATCTAAAATTCAGTAACAAATACTTCTTTTAAAAATACAGATGACTGTGGAGTTCCTAGATAACCTAGAGGAAGCTAATGAAGTATTATGGAAATCTGGCTCTGTTACTTAGTAACTGTATGATAGTGAGCAAATTACTTCTTTGAGCTTCAAGTATAATTTGAGGTGATAATTAGTTTAAAACAGTTGTGAGATTACATATATATATATATATATATTTTTTTTTTTTTTTTTTTTGAGGCAAGATCTGGCTTTGTTACTCAGGCTGGAGTGCAGTGGGTCAACTGCAGCCTCTGCCTCCTGGGCCTAAGGGATCCTCCCACCTCAGCCTTCCAAGTAGCTGGGAGTACAGTTGTGTACCACAATGGCTGGCTAAGTTTTCCTTTCTTTTTTTTTGGTAGAGATGGGGTTTCACCATGTTGCCCGGGCTGGTCTCAAACTTCTGGGCTCAAGCAATCCTCCTGCCTTGGCCTCACAGAGCCCTAGGATTACAGGCATGAGCCACTTTGCCCAGCCCAGTTATAAGAATTAAATAAGCAAAATGCCTGGAATATAGCAAGAAGTCAATGAGTGTTAGTTCCCTTCCCTATTAAACAGTATTAAACAGAAAAATAGGGAATATTTCTTTTGATTTTTTTTGTTTGAGGTTGCTACAGGCAGGTGCTATAGTTTGTTATATTTGTATACTTGGTTTTAGAACTTAATGCCTTTCTATATGGTTCTTTTTTTGTTGTTTTGTTTTGTTTTTTGAGATGGAGTCTTGTAGTGTTGCCCAGACTGTAGTGCAGTGGTGCAATCTCGGCTCACTGCAGTCTCTGCCTCCTGGGTTCAAGCAATTCTTCTGCCTCAGCCTCCCAAGAAGCTGCTACAGGTGTGCGTCACCATGCCCAGCTAATTTTTTTGTCTTTTTAGGAGAGACAGGGTTTCACCATGTTGGCCAGGATGGTCTTGATCTCCTGACCTCGTGATCTGCCCACCTCGACCTCCCAAAGTGCTAGGATTGCAGGCGTGAGCAACCGGGCCCAGCCCTGTGTGGGTATTCTTATGGAAACAGATGGGAAGTATTCTGGATTAGAAATCAGTTTCAGATTTAGAATTTTAAAATAAGCGTTTTATTTTTACTTAATTTCAGATGTACAGACAAAATGCAAAGGTAGTAGTACAAAGTTCTTGTATACCTTTCATGTACTTTCCTTTTTTTTTTTTTTTTTTGAGAGTCTCACTCTGTGGCCCAGTCTGTGGGACACTACAACCTCCAGCTCCTGGGTTCAAGTGGTTCTCATGTCTCAGCCTCATAGCTAAGATTACAGGCACACGCCACCACGCCTGGCTACTTTTTGTATTTTTTAGTATAGACAGGATTTCACCATGTTGGCCAGTCTGGTCTCAAACTCCTGACCTCAAGTGATCTGCCCCGCCTCAGCCTCCCATAGTGCTGGGATTATGGGCACGCCTCTAATGTTAACTTTTTAAATAACCATGGTACATTTGTCAATGCTAACAAGTTAACATTGTTACAGTATTATTAACTTAACTACCAACTTTATCCAGATTTTCCACTAACATAGTTTTTCTGTTTCAGGATCTAATTTAGGATACCCCCTTGTATTTAGTATATTTAGGTTTTTTAGTTACAGTTCTGTTATTAACTGTGACCTTAAGCATGCCACCTAACCCTTCAGGCCCTTGTCCATCCAAGATACCTTTTATTTCTGAAGTTTTGAATTTATTTAATATCTGTTACACAGTGTGCTCTATTTTTATTTTGAAATAAGATTATAAGATTTAATCAATACACCTGATCTTGTTGACAGTAAAATTTAATTTTTATCTTGTAATTTTACTTTAGTATTAAAGGAAAACTATAATAATGTTGAGTTTTGGAAAAACTCAAAAGAGTTTTTTCTTCCATTTGAACCAAAAAGATAAAAAAAGAGGTCTTGTATTTTTGTCAGTGGTAGAGGGTCATGACTGCAAATTGTCCAGGTTCATGGTGTTTTGAACAAAGAATTGGACCAAACGTCCAGCAAAGCAAAGAAAGAATGAAGTAGGAAAAGAGCAAAAGCGGGGATTTATTGAAAATGAAAGCACACAACAGTGTGGAAGTAGACCTGAGCAGCATCTCAAGGGGTCCAGATGTAGAATCTTCTTGGGTTCACATACCCCCTAGAAGTTTCCCATTGGCCACTTCATGCTAACCTCATGTAAGTGAAGTGGTAGCCTGCAATCAGCCTGATTGTTTACAGAAAACAGCCAACTAGAGGCTGATGTGAAGTTACAATGATCACACTCCTGTGCAAACATCTGATTGGTTGCAAAATCTTTGTAAGTTCACATCTGCAAAAAGCTACCAATCAGAGGCCAGGGCGAAGTTACAAAGTTGCAAATGAAGACTCCACAAGCAATCAGTCTGATTTGTTGGGGCCAGCCAATTTCTCATCTGCAGTGCTCAGAAAACGTCAAAGGGAGTAGCCTCTGGTCCTTTACTTAGGCAAGGAAAGTTAGGGTTTTCCTTTCAATTTAGTTCTAGGAAGTTGGCATGAAATAGCCTTAGGTTCTCTGCCTCCAGACCTATTCTGCTGCCTCATCTTCCCCCAAGAGACGTGATCCCCATAAATCTTTATGGGAGGCAGAGGACTGAAGGTCTTTCTTCTGTAACTGCTTCTTGCTGACTTGGGGTGTAGTCTCTACCTGTTGGAGATCACAGAACTCTCACCCTGTTCTGTCTAGTGGAGGCAGGGTGGCTTTTTGATGGCCAGGGTGATGTCTTCACCTGGAACTGGCTGGAACCTTTGTTGCATGATCATCTGAAGCTGCATGATCTCTAGGTGAGAGGAAATGAATTTGGTTAACAGACTTAAAGGGGATTTTGGGAGTGGATACCTATGCTGTCAGGAGTGTTTGTTGTAGAGATTTGCTGGAGAAAAAACAAAATCTGGTCTGTTCTGGAATCTATGTGTTTCCTGAAAGTCTTAGCACGAGTGACTCCATTTTGGTTTGGTTTGTTGGGGCCTAGTGCATGAGCTTAGTCCAAAACAGTGGCCTCCCAGGATTTTGTTTAAGAAAACTCCCCCTTTTTGGTCAGGTTCTCACTCACCTGAGTGTTTGAGCTGTGGAGTTTAAGGCCAGTCAGGGCAACAAAGCAAGACTTTGTCTCTACCAAAAATAAAAATAAAAATAAAAATAAAAATAAAAATAAAACAGCTGGGGCCGGGCGCGGTGGCTCAAGCCTGTAATCCCAGCACTTTGGGAGGCCGAGGCGGGTGGATCATGAGGTCAAGAGATCGAGACCATCCTGGTCAACATGGTGAAACCCCGT